GTTACTGAGCTAGTGGAGTTTATTTATTTATTGATTTATTAAAGGGACAGTGCATATGAATATACATTATAAATGTAAATATGCCAGAATGAGCCTAAGGACTGTTTTCCATCTGTAGTCTCAGGACAGTCAGAGCAAAACCTTGTTCATGAGCACTTCCCTTCATCTAAGTAGCAGGGCTGTCCAGAAGAACGTATGTTTCAACCCTTCAAACGTAATTATCTCGGAGGACTTTACACAACCGTTGAGTTATCCAACACAGATCAGAGGATCAAACAGTTCAAACACAAAAAATAAAACAGAAAACACATTGGTCCAAAAGGGGCAGATGACCGATGTCCAAAAGTGTTGATAAATGTCCATAAGTGTTGTTGAATGTTGAGTGTCCTGGATCATCACCACTTTCATCCACTTATACCAATGTTGTCCAAAACACTCTCAAAAAATGTTTGAGGAAAGGGACTACATTTAACTTGATTATTAATCAGATCGTTGTGGTAAAGAGGGAGCTAAGCCCAAAGGCAAAGCTTTACGTTCCCTCCCTCACCTATGGTCATGAGATTTGGGTAATGACCGAAAGAACGAGATTGTGGATACAGGCGGTCGAGATGATCTTCCTCCGCAGAGTGGCTGGGCGCTCCCTTAGAGATGGGTAAGGAGCTCAGTCACACGGGAGGAGCTCGGAGTAGAGCCGCTGCTTTCCATGTCGAGAGGAACCAGCTGAGGTGGCTCGGGCATCTGCTTCAGTTTGCATTGGAATCTTCAATGCATGATAACGATATTTGTATTAGCTTATTCTTTAGCATTAACTAGGTCGCAATAGCAGCTGTCTGGCATGAAAAAAAAAAACTGAGACAAGACAAGAAACCACGGCGTTTATAGAGAATGTGCAAATATAATGTAACGTGAGTTGTTTACAGACTTGAGAAGAGGCAGATATCAACTTGTTATGACAAGACTGTTGGAGCAGCGCCTTGTGTGAGTGTTTCTGGTCCATAACCGTTATCTATCAGGACTATGCTAATGATGGCACAGAGAGCTTAAGGTGATCTCTGTGGGGAGTGCAGGTGGAGATTCCTACAGTCTCCAAAAATGTATAAATAATATTTTGGAGCGGACCGATAAAAAAATGGGGATCCGTTCGTCCCCAACGAACCAATGGGATGCGTTTACCCCCTTCACCCTCTTCCTGTTTCTCGCGAGTGTGCGCACCTGAGTTATCGGATTTTCTAAAACCTAAAATTGCCACCCACTCTCCCTGTTGTGACAAAGAAAAGAAAATGCCGGATGTTTGGTTTGGGGGAGAGGAGGGAGTGGTTTCCAGTTGGTGCTACGGCTAAGCTAACAAAATCGCTTACTGCGTCTTTAAAATCAGTGTTTAATCATTTCGATAATAAAAAGTTGCCCAATATGTCAGCGTATGTCTCTTTTCTTTGCCTATGTATTTGGTGGCGCTTATACATGTAAGTCACGTTCCAGCCTTATATGCACACGTATATTGTAGCTGTTCCATTACATCCATTCAAAGCAGAAAATATTTATTGTCTTGGTTTAGTCACATTCTGCATAAAGCTGTAGTTAGTAGATGGCTGGAGCTGGGGAACAGTGTGATGCCTTCAGTTGTTAATGGACTTTCCTCCTTTTACCGTGTGACTGCTGTTTGTGCTCACGATGAAGCCAGGCTGGTGCTAAGTGCAGCGCGTTGACATTTGTGCATCTCTTTGGGGAGAATAGGACTTTACGATGATTATTAGGTCTGAATGTAATGAGTGAGTGAGTGGATGGTGTTGGTTGGAGGCTTTGACACCAGTGTGTTTGGCGTCTCGCTTCCGTCCTTACCGTGTGGAGTGAATAGAAAAACCGCAAAAAGAAATGGAAAAGCGGTTTGGGTGACCTTGCTCATGTAAAATCCGCTCTATAGATAAAGATAACTTACTTACTATTTATTAAAAAAACATCTAATATTTACTTAAATGAAGGCAAAACATCAGAGGAATAACAGCAAAGATCAACTTTCAAATAGTAATTCAACACATCAATGGTTGTATCTTCAATTCATATTTTGTACAATACTTGAAACTCAACCACAATAAAGGCTTCTTTACTAAAATAACCCCCATGATTGTATGAATATTTCAAAATTGCAAAGAAATTTGGTATTTTTTCCTGACTTGTGTTCAGTTATAGTACTATTGATAGAATCTGGTTTATTTTTCACACATTTATTTTATTTTGAAGTAGCACTACAATTGACCAATAATAGTTTTCTGCTTGTGGGTGACTGCACTAAGCCGCATTCTGGCAAAGTGAAAAGATAAAAAACACAGATTCATTGGTTTGAAATAGCAGCATTTCATTTCTATTCTAGTTTTGAACCAATCAAACCCTAAACTAAACGTATTATTGTATGTTTATGTACGTAAGTGTACTGTACAACCACTTAAATAATAATACCACCAATAAATAATAATAGTAATTGTTCTCATTGAGCTTAAAGGGATATTATGTCTAATCTGTAATTATTATGTAACTGTATGTAACTTTAGTCCAGGACTCCCTTGAAAAAGAGGTTCATAATCCCAACAATATTACCCAATCAGAGAGCAGAATGAGTTGGGTTGCAAGTTTGTCAGGTGAAATGTAATTGGTTTTGGCTTTATCGTTTTAAGGCGCATGTCGGCCATTTGATTATTTTTTTTTATATTGCACAATAACATTTGGATATTGTCGAAAGCAGCAGCTCGGGCTAAGTTTCTCACCATCACAATTCACGAACTAATGAGACGCACTGTCCAAAGTTTGACCTTCATGAAGCTGTCTGCACTTTTCAACAAAGTCAGCTGAAAACTTCTGCTTACTCCACTCCAGAGTCCACAGCATCAAATATTCACAAATGCCTAATGGCGGGATTAGTGGAGCTTCAAAGTTAAACAAGATAAAATAACTTATGTTCAGTGGTGCCACAGAAAATTAAATATTCAAATACACTGCTCTGATCAGCGATAACTATAGATGGAAGAGGATTATTAAGTGAAAGTCAGTTACATCCTCCTTCTACAGCCTGAGTCCTGGTTTGTAAAAGTACAAACTGTCGTGGGAACAGATGCATATCTCATTGTGGGCCTCCCTGAAGTTTCTTGAACATTTATGGACATTGGTCATCCCGCTCCTTTGGTTCCTATGTGTTTGTTATTATTGCATATCCTGTGTTTGAACTGTTTAATTCTCTGCTGTTCGGGAATTAACAACTTTGTAAAGTCCTCCGAGACGACTGCTGTTGTATTTTAGGGCGATTCAAAATAACTTGAATTGAAGATGGAGATATGTTTTCAAATGCACCCACCCACAGGTTCCTCCAATCCTTGAGAGTCAAAAATGTGTATTCTATTCCAAGTGAACTACAATTGAAGTAGGAGACATCACCTTTGAGGATTTAGGAGACAGCTGTGTGACATTACTGTACTTGATAATTTATCATATGAAGTTTTTTCACAGAAGATCAAAGGAAAATAAGAGATCCATCCATCCATCCATCCATCCATCCATCCATCCATCCATCCATCCATCTTATTTTATCAATTTTAACTTTTATTTCTATTTTTTCTTGTATATATTTGGAACATTAATTTGTTTATTTATTTCAAACGTATGTATTTATATGTATTTTAAAATCAAATACATTTTAACTTTGATTTCATTTATTTATTTATTTTATGTATCTATCCATCCAACAAAGCGCTATATAAAACCGATGCATTATTATTATCATCCATTTTCTTCCCCTTAATCCATCTCTCGGGGAGGGGGGTTGGGAACAACGACAGCAGACATCAGTGGGAGTCGATGGAGAAGGTCTCTTGGTGGGCTCAAACCCACAACCTTCAGGCTCAAAGGCACTGTCACGCAGCACTTTACTTATTCAATTTATTTCTATTTAAGCCCATTTTTGTCTTGTAAGAAAGACTAAGACAAAAGGTTGATGTATTACTATTGGTACAATCACTTTTTTAAATTTTATTTATGTATTTATTCTTAAGTATAAACCCTTGAGATGAACCATCTCTTTTTCAACGGGGTCCTGGGATAACTGGACAAAACAAATGTACAGTTTATAGAGAAAAAAAAAAGGGAACAATAATTCAAACATATAACATTAAGATTAATTCACCATAGATTTTAGTTTCATATTTGCAGATGGAGGTCATAATGAGGGGCCTAATGCGAACACAGACGTATACACCTTCTTGAATACATCTTTCTTTATGCCCATAATGTAATATGCTAATACACCAACGGAGGCGGTCGCCATCACACACCGGTCAATCAGCCTCAAGTGGAGCGTCCTATCACAGCTCTGGCCTTGGACACATCTTGAATTTCTCTGATCAGTGAGTTTTTTTTTTTCGATTAGAAATTAAGATGTGGCCCCTGTTCTCTGAAAAATGTGAACATATAGAAGTACCGTCATCTGCAATAACCCAGGTCTATTTCTATAAATAAAAAAGCACAAAATGACTTCTTAATGAAGAGAGTACAAGCAGGTATTGTTCAACTCATCTAATTACAAGTTACATTGAAATCAGTAAAAGCTAAATATTACCACAAAGCATGGCAAATTATGTTATTTCCTTTTTTCACGAACGCAATAAATCAAACAGCCGTAATATGGACATCATTGTTTTGTCAACCACTGCCGCTATAATAGGCTACAAAGTAAGTTCATTCAAATCAAATTAAATTAGCCCTAAATAACAACAGTGGTTATCTCAGAGGATTTATACAGCACCTTCACACGGTTCTTCACAGGTCAAAAACTATTATAATACAAAAAAATAATTTCAGTGCATTCAGATGGATTGCGATACTAAAAAAAAGCCAGTATGCAGAAACACCCAATAAAATAAGTAGCTGTTTATCTTGCATTTGTAAATTTCTCTGTTAATTATCGTGACTTTCTCCTGCACAAGCTGCTGTGATGAGTTGATATATACAGTACTCACATCTGAAGTTGCGGTTTCTCCTGCCTTTGTACATCCTGCGCTCTCTCCGTTGGCTCCTCTCGGCTCCTCTCTCCTAAACTGAGCACTGGAGTCTTTCAGCCTCCTCAGACCGTACCATCTCTCTCTCTGCTCCAGGGGGAACCAGCCACTTTTGACTAAACCACATCATTTTGATTTTTGGGTGTGTTTTTAAGCGCAGCTGCTGTTGTTTATACAGTTGCAATCGTGATGCTAATTGTTTTGGGGTTGAAATAGTTGCTTTAAGATTAAATTAGTTATAACTTGTGCCAGAGAAAGCCCTAAAATCACAATATCAGTCACAGACCTGCAGTTGTTTTTAAGAATTCCTTTATTTTTAGATCCATCCATGCTAATATCAGGAACTTCTGGCACAGAAGTTGGTTACTGTCTTCTGTCTAAAAGCTCCAGTCCTGTAAGACTATTATCACGCTCGGAGCAGTTTTCAGTTTTCTTCTAAAGTTTTGTTTCGAAGCTGCGAGCCGATCATTTAGAGAGTGTTAACCCACAGATTTGGTGAGTGTGACATAAATGGTTACTGAGCTATTGGAGTCATTGGTTTGGCGTCTTTGAGCACGTACACCGGCCACTTTACTAGGTACACCTATCCAACTCAACTTTAACGCACATTTCTTGTCAGCCAATCACATTATAGTAACTCAATGCATTTAGGCATATAGACATGGTCAAGACGATCTGCAGTAGTTCAACCTGAGCATCAGTATGGGGCAGAAAGGTGATTTAAGTGACTTTGAACGTAGCATGGTTGTTGGTGCCAGAGTCCGAGTATTTCAGAAACATCTGATCTACTGAGATTCACACACAACCATCTCTAGGGTTTACAGAGAATGGTCTGAAAAAGAGAAAATATCCAGTGAGCAGCAGTTCGGAGGGCGAAAATGCCTAGTTGATGCCAGAGGTAAGAGGTGAATGGCCAGACTGGTTCGAGCTGATAGAAAGGCAACAGTAACTCAAATAACCACTTGTTACAACCAAGATATGCAACAGAGCCTCTCTGAACACAGAAAACGTCAAACCTTAGGGCAGATGGGCTGCAACTGCAGAAGACCACACCGGGTGCCACTACGGTCAGCTAAAAACAGGAAACTAAGGCTACAAAATGCACAGGCTTACCGAAATTGGACAATAGAACATTAGAAAAAGTTGCCTGGTCCGATGAGTCTCGATTTCTGCTGCAACACTCGGATGGTAGAGTCAGAATTTGGAGTCAACAACATGATCAACGGTTCAGGCTGGTGGTGGGGGTGTAATGGTGTGGGGGATATTTTCTTGGCACTCTTTGAGACCCTTAGTACCAATTGAGCATTTTTGCCACGCCACAGCCCACCTGAGTATTGTTGCTGACCATGTCCATCCCTTTATGACCACAGTGAATCCCATCTTCTGATGGATACTTCCAGCAAGATAAAACACCTTGTCCTAAAGCTCTAATCATCTGACTGGTTTCTTGAACATGACAATAAGTTCACTGTACTGTAATGGCCTCCACAGTCACTAGATCTCAATTCAATAGAGCAACTTTGGGATGTGATGGAACAGGAGATTCACATCATGGATGTGCAGCCGACAAATCTGCAGAAACTGCATGTTGCTATCAAATATGAACCAAACTCTCTGTGTCCAGTACCTTTTTGAATCTATGCCACAAAGGATTAAGACTGGTTTGAAGGCAAAAGGGGGCCCAACCCATTACTAGCAAGGTGTACCTAATAAAGTGGCCGGTGAGTGTATATAGCACTATATACACTCACTGACATTTTGTGAGTGGCTTCTTATCCACATAATTACCGTAATATAATCTAGCACGTTTTCATCATAGCAGATATTGATTCATAAACGAAAATATAAATACTCATCCTGTTCCATCTATTCAAACACGAAAGCCACACAACCACACACTCCTATAACAAACAGTCATCTTGTCTACTAAATGTTTTCCTCTCAATGCAACGATGAAGAGCCTGGAAGGCAGAGGGGCTGATGGGATACTGCCTGCAGAGTCTCCAGCTGTCGGAACGTTTACACAGTGTTCAAGATGAAGACGTGTAATTGTACTGTCTAATTACACACTGACACAGCTGCCTCCAACTATGCCTGTCGACTTCCCCGCTCACTCCCAGAAAAAATTACAGGGGACTAATAGCTTTTGATCAACAATATCAAACTTATCAAAAACAGTCATGCTTTATGCCAATAAAATGGAAGAAAGCCGACCCTGCTCGATGTTTGAAACAAGCTCACTTTAGAGTTGGGCTAACGTTTATTACATTTAAACATTTATTAATATAGAAATTGGCTCGTATGTCCAGTCTGTTCAATTAATTTATTGTGCCTGTCCCCTAAACACATGTAAAAGTAGAAAAAAAAACAGTTGACAAATCTAAATCATTGCTTATTCATTACTAGACTAGTAAAGAGCCAATATTATTTAAAAAGTGCTTTGATTGTGGCACCATCTAGTGTTCATAGAGAGAAAGAAGTGATATGAAAGATTACTGCATTTCTCCTCTAATAGTTTGGATCACACACCCAGCGTTAAAACTACTACTACTAAAACTGAATGTTGACACCATAAAAAAATGCTGTCATATTTTCATGACATGATTTGAGTGTTAGTGGAAAAGCCCCAATTTGTTTCTTTCATCAAGATTATCAAAATACCCAAATTCAAAAACTAAGATCCATACTTAGTAAAGTGGATAAAGCTGGGATCAACCTCACATCGAATTGACTAAACAAGGATAAGTATTCTAATTAACTCAATATTTATTTACCCCGGGAAATCTCATTGAGATTCCAAACTTTATTTTTTCTTCCAAGGTTGTCCTGGCCAAGAGGCATTAACAAAACAACCCCTTTTATTGTAGCGTCAAGGCTAAAAAGATACAGCTAAATATAAGTGTTAGTCATATCATTGCAATGACAGAAAAATAGCACTAAAACATATTCTGGAAACACACTTTGTACAGCCTTACTCACACACTGTTGCAGTATGAAGTGACTGAGAATCCTCCTGGTCACTTCCCCACCAGGAGGCGCTCTAACACAGAACACAGAGCAGATTGGCACCAGATGAAGATCACAGGAGATGATGGCTCTGAGAATTAATGTTAAATAAATCAAAGTGTCTATAAACTTCAGAGGCGCTGACTCAGAGAAGAGAGAGTCTTGTTTTATGAACAGTCACCTCAGGACAGCTGCCAAATCCAAGCTCCATCTCTGCGTTTGCATTAGAAGAAACAAGAGAACAGCAATTTAGGACTAACTTCAGAAAAGGGCAGAATTAGCACATTGTTAGTGCTTACATTAAGACTGAATTTGAGAAAACTATAACATTTTAGGCAAATTTGTGAAGGATTGGCAGCAACAAAATGCATGTCAAAATCTGACTTTTCTTTTCTCAATATTGTTGTATTGAGCCATTAGAAGAATAAAGAAATCACCATGATATCTGAATATGAATGATGAAAAGTTTTATGTTAGAACTGAGAAATTTCCCCAAAACATAAACATTATATTTAAAGAAAAATAACCGATGACTCAGTTTTGAACAGATTTTTGTTCATACAACAATTGTAATATATTAAACTGAAAGGAAGCGGCCAATCTTTGTTTTTTTTCAACCAATAGGCCTACAGATTTGAGGTATTTTACTCTGAATACATGTGGATAGTAATATAGAGAATTAATTTGTCAGATTATGGGTATTAAGATTAGGTATGACCACAGAGAGTATATTGTATCACAGAAAAAAGGGACTGCTTTATGAGCAAAGACCTAGCAAAAGCTTTTAGCAACAGCTGCCATGACCAAAATGAAGACGCACACACAAACACACATACAGACAAAACGTTTTCCTACAAAAATCATTTCCTTTTCCTTAGTTCGTACCTGACAAAGGGGTCACATGATATCCCTGTGATGTGTGTGTTGTCAGCTGTTTTACACAGTATTTGGCGGGATGTCATCTGCAGTCTGACTTGTTCAGGACAGAATCCCAGGTGTGTGTTAGTGAGAAGGCCCCTTCATCCCAGTTTCTATTGCCTTTTTGATCCAGCGATGATATTTGCACCTGGGTTTCTGTCCTTGAATAAGTGGGATGGCGCTGTCGTCCCGTCTCAGGTGGTAGGATAGCAGATAAAACCCTAACCCTAACCCTAACCCAATCTGAAGAGAAATTAACTTGTTGGAGTAACTTCTCATTTGTTTAACTCTTGAAATGAAAAAAAAACAATACATATTTAACATAGTTCATTATTAACTTCAACATCCAGCTGTATAATAGACCATTATATTCCAAACAAGTTGGATGTTTGTGCTCAAGGCTGTGTGTTACCATGGTGATGGAGTGATGCATGCAGTTTCAGTCTTGAATCCTCACTTACCAGGGTACACAATACAGTATTTTACAGGTTTATATTGCAATTTAGAAATATTAATACTAACTTTTTGATGGCTTTAGATTTCTTTTGCACAACTACTTTGGATCCTCATCACGTCAGTGTTGGTCACCTGCTGCATACTCAAACACATTATATTTCTTGCAGCTTCTGTACCCTCCCCCTGCCTCCACTGTCAGCCCTCTGTATGTGATTTAATAAAAAAGAAGAAATATCATAAATTCACATCTTGCAGTCTGCAGCCTCCTCCGGCAATATACGCACTATTAAAATATAAAGTTCATGTTTTAAAGATAAGGCCTGACGCGCATGGCTTTAACCTGACAGGAGAAATTATTTTAAACGGACAGATACACTCCCATGAGAGTATTAAAGGAAACGTGTGGCATCACAACAGCTTTAGATTGATTTGTGGAGAAGAGGTAATAAAGAGATGGTTGAGACTTGGTAGAGGAGATAAAACAAGGGTCAATCTGCAAAAACAGATAAGTGCAAAAACACAAACAAGTAGATTTTTTTAAAGCTTAACATAATTTAGTGCCAGTGGCCTACTTCCCTTTACCCCCCAGAAATTATGCTTTTTTTGTCACAGAGA